TATTCAATGCCGGTTGCCTTCTTACAATAAACTTTAGTTTTAAATGAGACATGCTTGTATTTGGAACAAAATCTTAAGTAAGTTATCTATTTCGTTATGACTATTTTAATAGTTATGATACGTTACGTTCTCCTATACTAGTTTGAAATGTAATTTAATGTGGTTTCTAATTAAGCTAATTTTCTGTTACATAAATCATGATTTTGATTAAAAACTTTTCAGTATAGTAGCAGTGTAGATACAGCGTCAGTATTTGTGTATAGCGTCAGACGTGCTTGGATTTCATTGTGTTTATGCATTAAATATAATCTGGTTATCATTGTCGCTTAGAGTCACTAAAGTAAGTAACTTACATTTATATTATACCTATGTAGTAATGTATATATTATGGTCTTCAGGCGGGAATAACACAGGATTTTCTACAGTAAGTAAACATAGGCTCGACGTCAGAAATAAAAGTCATAAAACAAACTGCACGGTTCAAAGTTTGAGTAGTATAGGTTCTGTCGTTAACTCGCCACAAACGTAAGTCGAATAGAAATCTGTCTAGTATAATTATTTATCCCGGTGTACAAATGACCATTGCTAATACTCCGGCTTCAGATAAGTACGTTATTTCAATGCGATAATATACGCGCTCAATCAACGACTGTCGACGAAATCCGACTGATATTGATCGTTCTAATAAACCCGACACCGATTCTACATTAAACCGGAACCATAAAATGGGTGGGTACTCTAATAAGACTTTTTTGAAAAAACCCAACAGAGGTTATCGGCTTATAGTTAGGCACTTGTAATCTTCCTATCGTGTTTCCGATAAATCTTATTCCACTTCTCACCAACGATAAAATAGAAACTAATGAAGTGCATCCCTATCTATGCAGTATATTGGTATCCTTAATACTCGTACAATATATTATTGTTCTAAATCGTCCTATATCCATCGAGCCTTTTAGACCACCGGGCTTCAGAATTCGAATTATCTTTCTGATCTGAAATAGATACTTTCTACTCTAAGCGAATCACATACTGAAAGTGATATAACAAAATAAACCATTTTAACGTAAGAAAACATATTAATATTAATGAATAAAATTGGGGAACCTTATTATTCCTTCAAAATTGAATCTATACATTTATTTATTTGAATCTAAATAATTTACATGGGTAAACGTGATATAAGAAAAACTATTGTTTTGGATTAAAATGATATGGTTTAAAAATATAATTACAAAATCTGAATGATAAATTGACTTCAAAATAACATCGATTTAAATTTTACAAATGTTATTTTATTAAAATACAAAATATCGTAATTAAATATTAGTATATTATGTATAAATATTAAACTACGCATACACAATAAAAATATTACATTAATTTGAATAGGTAATTAAAACTTTTTGATAGATATTTAGAAACAAATATTATAAACGTGCAGGGATACGTATATACTTTGGACCATTTATTTTTAGTAAGGTACCTACATTGTGGAGTTTTTATCACTCGGTAAATGTAAATAGTTTTAAATAGCTTGTTTCAAACTTAATGTTGGATAAGTAACCTAGAAAGAGAGAAATTGAAATGAATCTAACAATTTTGGTTAAGTTAGAATTTTTAATTAGAAAGTTTGTCATGCTTTGTTCTTTAGTTAAATTTCCGAGTAACCTAAGCTATACCTATTCATATAAAATTATATGATTCTCATGATGCCCGTAAAGTATTGATTAATTTGTGAATTTGTGTTTGCTCTGATATACATACACAATTTTTAATTGTTCATAAATCCATGAATTTTAAATCTCTTTACAACATAAAATATTGAGATCATTTATATTATCATAATATTTTATGTTAACATCGGCTGTTTTATTATCTGTTTGGTAAATTTTTTTACGAAAAATGATCGAAATAAGAGTTTTATATAGTTGCAGTTTTACTAATATAAAAATTAAAAAACATGTTTTTTTTTTTAAATATTTTTAAAATCATTACCAGCAAACCAGTTACTAAAAACAAATATAAATATATACTCGTACACAAAATATATTTTCCTCAAAATTCGTACCCCTGATGACACGATACCGGAACAAGTAGTACACGCAAAACATTTTTTTTTTTATCATTAGGAAGGTATTTATAATTTGTTTTATATCAGATGTTTTAGATTTTGTCTTTATTCTTGACATGGGGATATTTTAAAAAAATTTGATCAACTTTTAAGCTTTTTATACAAATTTTAATTTTTTGTTAAAATTCAGTCAAAAATATTAGTATGGAATTTATGGACTTGAAATTTCGACGCAAAATTTCTATTGGCCTTTTCTATACGTGGCAAAATTTTAGCCCTTTTGACCTATTTATAGATATTTTATTTTTGCGAATTAAGTGTTTCTTTGTGTTAAAAAAAACCAAAAAAAAAAAAATTGAGCTAAATGTAATATTTTTTTTTAAAAAGGGATTTTAATATTAAATTTTGACGAAAACTGTTTTGAGTAACAAAAATGGCAAGGAACAAATCTAATTTTTAAATATTTTTTTGTGTTTTATTTTGAACATAATATTTATATCACCGTTTTAATTAGGACGATGAAGTCAGAATTGAGTGAACTGACTTGATTTCGAAATTATAGCTTTTTGAAGTTATGATATTATGTGGATAATATGCTATAATAAATAATTGAATAATGACAGTAATATAGTATGTTTGTCTTAGTCTAATAGTGGTATCTGTCTTATCTGTCATCTCAGAGTTCGCAAGTTCAAACACAAGTTCCGTAAAAAAAAATGAATTTTGGGTGCACCTAGAGACCTAAGCTGTCGTTCACTAGGACTGTTTTAATCAAAAATGCCCATTGGTGTGTTGTGTAAACTTTTGTACTAGAAATTTTGCTCCAATGTTTCAAGTCTAGCACCTTTTCTAAAAAGTTTTAAAATTTTATTATAAAATGTTGACGAAAATTGTTTTAGTAAAAAATTATGTAGAACAAATCTGGTTACTGGTCCATAAAAATTGATTCAATGTATAATTATTTATTTTACATTTTATTTTTATTTTATACGACATATATACGTAAATTATATTGTTGAGAAAGTAATACTTTTAACATAACTCCTCTCAGAATCGTTTTATGTTATCAATAATTAATATTTGCTTACAGATATTCATTAAATTCCCCTCTATATCTTATCTTCCCTCACTGGTCATCTACAACAGTAGACCATCCATCATGCAAAGTATGTAAGTGTTTTATTTTATAATTCTGTTATTCGTCAACGAAATCAAACTTTGTTTCTCAGTACACATTCTTTTTTTATGATGAAAATTTAGTTTGTTAAATAGGTCTATGGCTCAAGTAGTTTTATATCCATAATACATTTTTTTACACTGAAATTGAGGGAGGCATCACGTTCTCTTAAACACATTATTTAGACCATAAGCTGATAATGCACATTTACTAATTATATAATATTTTATTATAATTTATAAGCCTAATTTTTTTTTAACAATTATATCTAAAGAAATATAGGTATAATATATAGAAAGTTTATACACATTCAATTGAAACTATTGAAAATATTTTAAACAATTTTTTTTAAGTGAATTTTTATAATTATTGCTTGTTTCATATATTGAATTTATATAAATTGAGATAGGTACATATTATTTAAAAACCTTTTTGTAATATTAATTTGCCTAGTTTTGTAGTTTTTGGTTTTCATTTTTATTTTTAACAATATGAACTTCGCAATTCCGTTTTACAAGTAATTTAAGTAGGTACAATAAGTACAATCTACATTCAATTTTCAATAAATTGCATTTAACGAACGAAAGAATTTGATAGAGTTTAAATCCATTAAAACTGCCTGCAAAGCTAAAATAGAAAAAAAAAATACGACATTGTTAAATCAATATAGTTCGCTGCTATACTTAACATTTGCAAACGCAGTATATTTTTTAAAGAATAAAAACAAAAAGTCCGCGTGTATTTTTCGGTTTTTATTTCACATAAGCAATTATCAAAACGAATACTTACTTTATACTTAACTCGAAAATACAAAATATTTTTTGCATTTCCTTTAAAACCCGTCGTAACTCGCATGGAAAAAATAATGACCAAAGTCTTTTTACATTGAGTGTAATAATGAAAACAGATGTACATTTCAATAAATAAATTGCTCTTAGTTTTATGTTTTCAATTCACTCGCCAGAAAGATATTAAGTAACAGACGTCTGTGTTTATTAACAATTTATTCCAAATTTATTTGTTATTATTATTTTTTTTATTTTGTAAGTATAATTTTTTTCCAAAGAACTGAAGACTAATATTGGTTACAGTTTTCTTAAACTTTACATTTCATTATTATCGCTATTAATTTTTTAAGTATTATTAATGTTTAAAACACGAGATCACTGTTCACTACAACGATAATGGTAGTTTTTGAATCTAAATTATTATTACTATTATTATTATTATTGTTATTATTATTATTATTATTATTGTACTCATCAGCTTTCCAATTATTTTAATGATTGTGTCTGGCTTGATGAGTGTTACGCAGCAGAATAACAGTGACACTTTGCATTATTATATCCGAGTGAGTTCATTCGGCCAGGTATTATGGTAGGTAAGGTTATATTGTAACTTAGAGTCGGCAGTCCAACGACGTGAGTCGTGTCGTGTGTCATTCAATGTACCTACTCTGATTGGTCGTTGTAGTCTTGGTAACATTCTGTATTGCCAATAATAATTTATATATTCTCTAGCTCTGGTTACAATGGTCAGTTAATTTGTTGGTATTCTCAGCATATACCTATGTATTATAATTATACATATCTGAGGGCACGACACGGCACATGATGTCGCTAGAATATCATATTAAGATCGAACCTAGGCTCTGACCGTCTATAATTTATTTCGATCATTGAAAGAAATCCACCAAATATTCGGAAAAATGTTTGTTTATTTGTATTTTATAAATTGATATTTATTTACACGGAAAACCAAACAAACTTTTTTTAGGAATATCGAACATTATAATAATAATAATAATTAAATTAATATTAACAGACATATTATTAATATTAGATATATAAACTTAACATTTTCTTTCTCGATATTAAAATTTACATTATAAACAAATGATTAAAATGTTCTTATATTTTTTTAAAGATAAATAATTTATTATATTCCTTGGGGAATATTATACATCAAACGTTATCAAAAAATTCACTAGAGTAAACCGATTTAAAAATAATATCTATGACAAATCAAGTTTTAATTTTTTCGACCTGCGTAAAGATGTAGTCGATAGCTGTTCCTGTAGCAAACCCTGATTTGATCCCACCAAAAATCTGATTTTTTCCCCTTATTTCCTTCGATAAAATATTTTAAGATATCAATTTACACGTACGGTAAAACATCTCGATTTTTCCCGCAAGATTTTTAGGAAATTAAAATATTATACAATTAATTATCATACTTATTTTTAAGGGGAAATTTAAACTGGTTAAGTAAACCGAAAATTCTGTAAATTGTTTTTAAATGTTTCGTATGATATTGGCGATAAATCGTAATCAGTATCATAAATCTGTTTAGTCTAGTGAATTTCTTGAATTATTTTTTTAACTACATCCGTTATTTGTTTTTATTCTAAATAATATATTGTTAAAACTAAAATGTACAAGCCAAAATCCTGGATGTAGATAGTTACAGATGAATTTATATTACGGAAATGTAAAATAAACATAATAATAATATATCGATAATATACATTTTATTTAATCTATTTTACGAATCGTATACACGTTGAAAACATAATTAAAATATTAAAAACTAAAATGGATGAAATATTACACAACATAATATTATTATTATTTCGTTCATATTCATATAAAAGACTATAGATTTACTCTGTCAGTGAATGGAAAGCTTGCCTACCATAGAGAATAAATAATTGTATCAATAAACCCGTGGAATATTTATTTATGCCATGAATTGCATGATAAATACATTGGATTACAATACGCAAAATATTTGACATTTTTTTTTCAAGTCTAACTTGGTTTTTATCAAGGCCGGGCAAGTTAATGATATTTTTAACTCATTTAGGTTAAATATATTTTTTTTTCAATTGCATTAAAAATTAGTTAAAAATTTACTATTATCTATTAACTTATCTTCAATTAATAAGGTAAGTTAATTAAACAATAAAATTTCATTAATAAGGTGATAAAAATAAACATGAAATATTAACTATGAATGCATTTTGAAACCTGTGAAATTGTAGTATTTATGGAACTCTAATTATAATTCACTCAGGGATCAGTTAAATTTAAATTTGAATGTAAAAGTAATTACTGTATAATTTAACCTTAATAATTTATAATGATAATAATAAACTGACAATATTAATAAATAAATTGTTTTTTCTGGATAATATGACAATTTAATATACCTAACTTAATTGAAAATAATTAAAAGTAAGTAAGTTGATTTCAAGTTAAAATAGAAGCAAATGAGTTCAAGTTAAGTTAAATTAAAAAAATAGTAAGTTAAGTTAATAAGTTGAAATTAACTTAAATTTTAACTTATTGTCTCGTAATGCCCAGCCTTGGTTTCTATATTATCATCACATAATTCATGGAATAAAAAATATTACTATTTCATTGGATGTTAACCACTACAATAATTATTTTTCCTCATGGTGTATGGCTGCTGAACTCCGTATCTCGAACAGTCAATGTTTAATTTTATACCTTTTTTATATCTATGCTTTAATTAGGCTTCAAATAATGTCATTATTACTAAATAATAGATGGTCTAAACGGTATCGAAAAACATAATTATGTATATAACATATAAACTTTTATTTGGTGAAATATTGTATAGAACAATAATTAATACTTTTAAAAACTGTTAAAAGCTATCCATATATAATATTATTGGAGTCAAAAATGTATTTACAGTGTTACATAGTTAAAAAAAAAAAAAAAAAATTATTATTAATATTATGTTTAAGTTATTATATTTTATTATATCATATTCGTATTGTTATTATTAATTATTTTTAATACTCGGTGTTGTCGTTGTTTTTTTTTTTTTAACAATGTATATAGGGTGTCTCGACAATGTACACGTATGCACGACGATTTTTAAAAATCGTCTCAATTCGAATTTGAGTTGATGAACATGACTAATGATGGTATGAGTATCCATATGGACGGGCAGCTCAGCATGTTCAGACTCCGGCCGTGTCCGTGTTGCATGGCGGCAGGGTTCTCACCTGAAACAGAATTATAACATGCGAAATAGTGAAATGATAAAATACGACGTGTTGCAATCAAAAAAAAAAAAAAAATTATAATACGTTACAAAAGAAATATATAACAATGTATACAATATCAAATTAAAAACTGAAAACATAGTTTTGATTAAATGTTTCAGTGACCATTGTAAAGCGTTGCGTACATTTTAGGGATTTAAATTGTCGATGAAAAAAAAATTTTTTTTTCAATACGTTTTCAAACATTCATATTTTCGTCAGTTTTATCCCCAGCTAGGCAGCTTAAATATGTCTATATGTATAAATTGTCTTTTTCCAACGTTTTTTTCTCCCAACGTTATCACATGTTCACTGACTAAATTTAAAGTTCCACGAAAAAACCCCTAATAAGGTTTTTGATTAGAGCTTAACGTTTTTTGCTGGTCAAAAGATTGTTTATGTAGACATAAAATACATATAAATGCACATGAAAAAAGAAGTACAAATTCCTGGCCTCGTATAGGCAATCCAATGTGGTTGTTTATAAAATATTATTATTTACCGAGTTTGTTAACATAATATTATTATTATTATTATTGTAGTCTTGTTCAATTTCCAGTAGTACCTGTAACATTGTAATAATACGCCAAGACTACAGTTTGAGTAGAATGTTTCCCGTCTTCGTTTGACTCGGGAGTTAATTTACACGGGCGTTTCGGACTAAACTCAGACTTATTAATATCATAAATCACTGTTAAACCACCGTGTCTTGTGTAAACGTACAGTAGTTGTTATCCTAAAATAACTAGGGCAAATATCAAATGATATTTGATTATAATAATAATTAATATTATTATGATTTGCAGTATTATTGTTGTTGTTTAACTACCATTTAATATTCATTTTTTCCTTCATCTCAAAATCGACAAAACCGAAATACTCTTTTTATCAAATAACATTATGTCGTTGTAATTAAATTATTAAAAAATATTTATTTAAACATATTTATAAATATTGTAGGCATCAAAGTTTGTTATTTATTGTTCAAATATTAAATACTATCGATTGCTATAATGATATAATTTATCTAAACCATAGGAAATTACACAAACTTGAAACTATTTGCAATTCGGTATAAAAATTCTTATAATAATTATAGCTTATACTTCCGATGATTGTGCAACTGTTTTAGGCGAGAGGTCGAGAAGTGGAGTGCATATAGAATTATTTAATTTATGTAATTAAAATTATATTATTTTAAAAAGATTTTTAGAATTTTCAAGGATTTCTGTTTAACTCAACTAATTTTATTCACCTAAAATAGAATAAAATTAAATCAAACTCGAAAAATTAAAATTCCTATAAATATCCTAAAAAAATATTGCAAAAATTGAAAGCAAATCATTAATTTTTCCAATTATTTTGAAAATAACAAAAAAAATTTAAAAATATCATTCTTGATGTAATATTTTGATAAAAATTAGAAAAGATACGTAGTATTGATTGATGATTGGAACAATTTTTCTGGTAGAAAAGTTGTTCACAGACAGAAAAAAAAATACTTGTCATAGTAAACCAATATACATTAAGAAATTATACATACACAGAATCTAAAATGTCATAAAATAAAAGCATTTTGTCTTCAAAAAAAAAAAAATTATTTTCAGAATAAATTTGTATCGAACCTAAATAAATTTATTGTTTTTAAAAGCGTATTGTATTCTGTTATTTTACCCGTGTGTTTGTTGTGTTGATGTGTGCGTACAAATAGTTATTCAATAAAATATCTATGAGCTTGTAGGGAGCTACGAGTAAATGCATATTTATAAAAACCTGCTAGGTAGTGATATTGTAAAAATGATATTATTTTAAACCGTTCATTTTTCTAATTTCCCGGGAGTTTTCGGACTTTTATTTTATTCTTCTTATTTTAACGAAAAGGTTATTATACGTTTTTATATCCGTAAAAAAATACCTACCCGATATTGATAAATAATAGTTATTTCTGTGCGGAAAACAACATATTCTGCTTTTAATGTCGGAGTTTATTGTATTATTCAGTGTCGAAAATAAGTTAAAGGAAAATATTTCTCGTATCGAATTGTCGTCGCATATAAGTGTATTAAGTTATTAATAAATGTACAATGATTGGGAATCTACTTCAAAATTAAAGAAGTAGCGTACGACGATAAAACAATTTTTATAAAATTAACAATGTTTTTGAAAAATGTTCACAAGTATATACTCGCCCGAAACTTCTTCGATGTTGTATTGGAATTGTCAAACCTAATGACGTGGTGATTGTCAGATATCAAACGATAACTACTTTTGAAATTGGATTTGTTTTTCGACGAAAACGAAACTTTTGTACGTTAAATTTATTTAGCACACTCTTCAAGACGATAATATGCTTCTTGGTAATATTATTATGATGCGATATACGTGATTAGAGTAAAATTACGTATGTTTAAAATATGTATAGTCACGTATAAAATGAAAATATTTTCTTAAATGTAGTATAACATTTTTGAAGAAACTTTTTTAGTTAAATTTGTCAAACAGACAATTTAGATGATTATTATTTTATAAATAGATAATTTACCTGTAAAACTATTATACTTAAAATAGAAACGTTTTCTTTATTATGTTGGTCAGCTTTCCACGGAGATTTTCAAACATATATTATAGTATAATTATCACCAAAACAGTGTTTTACCTAATGTGTAGTAAAACGATATTATAATATAGCAAACTTGATTTACCTTCATTAACAAAATTAATCTACACACTAAAAATTAACAACTAATAACAGCATTTAATATGCGTTATCATTGGTCTTCGATAAGGTTAAATTTTCCGATAATACTATGGTTGTTACTCACAATAATTACAATTAAGGAAAATATACCATTGTAATTTGAATTACAACTATAAATGAGGGTAGAGAATTTAAATTTCACAAAAAAGATATATAAAAAAAAAAAAAACCACCCATCTATAATATTACATCTGAAATCTACTAATGAAATCGAACCGAATTCGGTAACTGTATAGGTCTCACACTCTCTCCACGAAAAAATATAGAGTTAAATCTCAAGAAGCAACTAGTATCGAGAACATTATTGTTTGCAAGCAATAGAATTACAATTGCAAGAGAATAGGATCAAATAATTAAAAATAAATGGTTGAACAACAGAAATATATGACTCTTATCGAAAAAATAAGCAAGTTAAAGTGGAGTTGTATAGGTTAACTATTTACCAACTTTCATATTCGATAAAATAGTTGCATGCACTATTGTACAGCAGTTTAAGCGATTCACGAAAACGATGGCTAATTCACTCATACCACTTAGACCGACGACCGTGATAACTGATCCGAGTTATTCTAGTGCTCGTAATTCAATGTTGTTAGTGTGTACTCAAACCCTCCGCCTGTTGTCAACAAATGTCATTATGCAGAACTAAAGGACGTGAAACCACAGAAAAATTCACAGTATAGTTTTTTTTTTTCATCGGAAACCAATTTTCCGATAAATCAAAATGCTCTAAAACGTTTATCCGTTTATAATAAAATGTATTATCATGATACGTATTTTCCATACACATTGTTACTGTATTATTTGTGATATATTTTCTCGATTCTCAAAAGTTTTTTAAAAGAAAAAAAAATAAATACTAAAGTAAAACAAATATGTTTTAATTTGTATGTTTTTTTAAAAAAAAAAAAACAAAAAAAAGTACTATTGATTCCTACATATAAATTATTCAAATGAGAAATTAAATAAGAAAAAAAAAATATATTGTAAGAAAAAAAAAGTTGATACTGGTGATGGGTGTGGCTATTGATGAAGGTGGGTAGTTGGGAAGAATAAACAAAACTTAAATTATTAAAAGAATTATTTTCGTAAATTGTACCGTTCTTTCTACGTATCTTTCTGTTTGGGTTGATTATTAAAAAACCTACATAGATATACAAAATACGAATTTATTGGTTACCAACTAGATTAAACAATTGTTAATTGTTCTTTTATCAGAGCAATATTTCTAGTAGAAATCTGAAAGCGCAAAAATGTAAATTAATGAAATCTTAACGCCGTAATTTTTTCAGTTTTTATTGAACGTTTTTTTCCGGATTTTCCTAATTATTAATAAAACTACAAAGATAATTTAAAAAATACTTTATACAAACTGTACAAACTAATTAAAAATTCATAAAAAAAAGTTCTCTATTGTTTTTCTATTTTTTCATTTTTTTTTAAATTTGTAGAAAACATAAGCCCTATAAATTTTAAATAATAAAAACGATGTGCCGTAATTTGAAAAAACAAAATCGTATTTTTTTGTTTTTCCAATTGTTATGAAACAATACTTTAGACATAAAAAAAACTTGACATTCTCTTTAAATTGCTACATTTTAAAAAGAACAAAAGCGATCTCTTGTAATTTTTCGATTGGAGCAATATTTCTGGTTAGAAAGCATCGTGCTAAAAAATCGTAAAACGCACACGCCATAGTAAAACCAATAGATTCCTAGTTATACTTCGAATTTTAAAATGTATAAATGCCTAGAGATGGCAGAATACGTCCAGCATTTGTATTTTTAATTATAGTTTCTAAACATTCATTTTTGATACAAAATGTCCCCGTAAAATATTATGTTTGGTACCAAAACGTAGTTATATTACAGTACCATATACACATTTTTATCTATTACGCCTATCTAAAATATCTGTACAATATTATTCACCATGTAAGGGTTGTTGTTTTATATTGAATATGAAATATTAATCAAAAATTACGCGTAACAAAGTACCTAACTTACATTACGAATGTACAAAATGTATATCCGTGTTATCTATAATATATAGTAAATGCAACTCTTTAGAGCCTCAAAAAAGATATTATTTTAATACTATTATATGTTTCCGAAGTTAACAAAAAATTACGTATTATATTATATTTAAAATAAAAGTAAAACGGATAGGTGATTCATCTATCTAAAATAAAATTCAAAGTATTTACTAGTATTTGTATAAATGTTAATTTTTGTACAAAACTATTTATGAGAAACAAAATAAATTTGGCATAAAATAACATTTAAATATAATATGGAACCAGTTGTGAATTTTTTATCTTGTAACATTGATTATGCAACTGAAAATAATTATACCTTAAATAATTTGGGTGCCTACAAAATTATTACAACTCTTTATATCAACTGATGATAATCAATATTTATTATTCAAATATATACACATTGGTACGTGACATTTTGTTTATTCAGAACATTTAACTCACTTTCAATTAATGGGATTTAAGAAATGCGGATTTCATTCAAAGGACCCAGCTTGTGGATTTTTACAAATTGTTCATATTATTTACAAATAAAAGTTTTGAATATTCTTAATAAAAAAATACAAACAGGGTAAATGTTTGTATAGGTGGGGCCCATGGCTAGTTTTTGTGCTCAAAAAACGATTTATAGGGTAAACTATCCTTTCTCGTTGAGATGATTAATTTCGATAGTTTTTTTTTGATTCTATCATTAAAATCAACGAAAAAACAAGTTAAAACAACTTCACAAAATTGGTAACATTCAATTTTTAATCGTAGCCTTTTTAAATATAATTTTCAAAATCCAATTCCAATGCACTATACGAGAAGTCTTTATTGAAATCAGACCATTTTACGAGGCAGGATAGTTATTCATGTAAAGTATGTTTTTGGACAAGAAGCAAATCACGATCAAGTCCCCTATTATGACTAACTAACGAATATCTAGGTTTATGCAAAATTTTGTGATAAGGAGAATTTAAAAAAAAAAAACCTTCATTCACGAGAACAATAATTTTCTTTTGGATTTCCTTATAATTTTCAACGCTAAATGATTTCTTAATACATTTGTCTACGATAAGTTCATACTGACTTAAAATTTGGCATATTGCTGGAACTCCTTAGACATCGATAATGTTTAAATAAAACGTTGTTTAAAAAGAGAACTTTTATTAATTGAGTTATTTAAAATTAATAAGATTTTTCAGGACTCCTGTCAGGGAAATGTTGATTATCCGTCACTGTATGCATCCAACAGTCAGAACTATTATTACGTAGAAGTTCTCGTATGCATTCTGCTATTTAGTTAATGTTGTGTATAATTTATCTAGCTTTTTTTATAACACGTCTGTAATTCAATAACATTGTAACCGTTGTTATCTCATCGCATGGGTATCCAGTATAAATAAGCATAGTGAAAACAATATCCCATTATTCGAAGATTCTACGATATTCGCTACTAGTATCAAATTCATGATAGGAACATTATTAATCGTTCGAAATAATTTAATTTGTCAACCGTGTTCGTCATCGGGCACGCAACACTGCGAATTGGCATGAGTACACGTACATCGTTAGTAAAAATTTTTCGAAATGTTAATATTCCAAAATATCGAAGAGAACACGTACGAATCGAAAATTATTTGGTTGGAACTGTATTTTTAAGAAAACATTTCTTCGTAGCGTAAAATTATATGTAACTTAATAATTCGGAAAACAATCATTGGTTTCTATTATAATTTGTTATTACTTCGTAAACTAGACGTTTTAAAATTGCATTTGTTTTTATTTTCTTTTGACCCGTAACCTACCAAAATTGGTTTTTCATAACAAATTGAGGATTTTTTTTAAACAATTTTTATTAAAATTCTAACATGAGATCGGGAAACGAGCGACTGAAGATGACTGAAGTTCTGCAAATGAAGCAATTGATATCATGTAAAACTGGTGACCATTAATTTTTCTGGATTTTTCTATTTTTAAATTCAGTGTTTTACTTCCAAGACTTTATATTTAGTGAATTTCGCGTTCCATTATTTTATTTTCGTGACAATATCCCAATAACGATGTATAGTTTAGTCGTAATATATTTTTTCCTCGTTATAACGAGTAAAAATTTGTGCTTTTGACACTGGTCGAAACAAAAAGTGAAATACACGATCTAATTCAGTGGCGTATCGAGATTTCTCAATGGAGGGGGACATCAAAGAAAACAAAACGAAAATTACAGTAAGTTTGTAATTGATCAATGAAGAACAATTATCAGCACTTAAATTGCTTAAATAGCACATAGTAAAATACACATCAGGCGAACTGTAAGGATGGTGTGAGGGATTGGCCATAAAAAGATATCAATTAGATGGCGAGTTATTCTTCCTTTATAAGCCCCAGCGCCCGGAAATCATAGAGGAAATGCTCTCCCGTAAAGGCCCGCAATGCCAATACCTTTTTCTAACCACGATTTCGGTGCTCGTTTCCATCCCCGTAAAACATATTGGATATACAAGACTATATAATAGTCCGTGATTTAAAGTAACGTTTATGTTAAAAATACGGCCAATACGGGAGGATGACTATGATGGCATTGTCCTGTACTATACGCCACTGCAGTAAATGGGGCGCGTTTAATTAAACCGGCGGCGGTCTGTGCATGTTCTATGGTATATTGGCGAATCGGAGAGGGTTGTCGGACCTCATATTATTATTATGCGTAGCATCTTGTCCAATAACAGTATCAAATATTTACCGGTCCTTTAAGTATTCTTCCACTGCCGCCTGCCCGGTCTTTACTTTATTGATTGTTAGGCTTGTGTGCGGATGCGGACGTATATTATATACGCCACAGGGGAACCGCATGTATTAATAAAAAGGATTATACTGCAACCGCCCGCTACAGGAACTGGCCGAGCGGTTTATATTTATGTATAGTTGACCTGACGCAATTAATCATAATACGATTCCGGGTTTAATATTTCAAAAATATCTCCCCCCCCCTCCCGTTCTCCTGTAATACAAAAGCATCGCTTGCTGCTCGTTTTTCGATGCCGCTTATTATTATTGCCGCTCCTAATATCCCCCATTCTATCTTCCTCTCCCCTCCTCATCCAAAAAAAAAAAAACAACAACAAAAAATAACGTGACCTTTTCCGTAAACACACGGGGTGATTTTTTTTACCATGATATCCCGCAGAGATCGCCTACGAAGATTTTGAGTTAAATTTATTATGGGTTTTTAGAGTCATCATTGTACGAAAATAATAAATCGATGAATAATCATATCAACAATATATGTATATTTTTATATTTTAGTCTTTATTACGTCTTGTAAACAAATATCGAATTGGGTTCAAGAATAGAACGTGTCTTAATAAATTTTGATATGCACAGCACTTTTACCTTATCCGAATAAGCCTGTTATAAGTTGAACCTCTTGAAACTTAATACTACGAGATTAAAGAATAGATTATACATTTATTATACGTTATATAAAAATAATATTTTTGAATTGAAAATTGATATATTGTGTTAAGTTATTAGTTATTGCATTCGAAACGAATGTCTGATTAAAAAAAAATACTTTTAATAATATGGGGTATTTAATGAAACTATAATGATTGAAATAAATCGAAAGTAATTTACTCAACATTTATATAAATAATCAATTAATCGTAGTACGAAACTAAAAAAAAACCTAATACCGAGGGTGGATGTGCAGCTATTGTAGATGGGAAGTTGGGAAAAAAGATTACATAGAGATATTGAATTTATACATGTAACTATCAATAAAACATAGATTTGAAACGAAGTTCAGTAACACGTTTTGAAAGGCTCTATATATTTACAATTTTCTTGGAAATTTGATTTTTGATTCATAAAACTATGATTATATATTAATTAATATAACTTTCTTAATAATAACTATTTTAATTTTTAGAAAATAGACGTGTAAACAATTAATACTTAATAGAAGGTAAAAAATTACCATGCTGATTGTAATTCCTTATTGCATAACGTGTTATTTTATTGAATATTGATTGTATTCACCCCTAATTAAAACGGCTATACTTGGCTATCGGATATGAATGTATGATACAATAAAATGATTAGAATAATATTTTTTACAAAATGGTTTTTTTGAAAATTTTCTAAAATGAATAAATAAAAAAATTATTTTTTTTTGTATTTAGGGGATGAAAATTTAATTTTTATTCAAATAAATGTCCCCCTCGAAGACAAACCGATTGAAAAAAAAAAAAAATTAAAAAAAAAATTTCTTATTAACAGTGAAAAATCCATTGAACATGGTATATAACATACTGTATATCCCTCGATCTCCCGCTATGCACCAAAATCTAAAAAAAAATACTACATTACATTCGTTTTTATTTTTGACCACTATTTATGAAATTTAATGAATTTCATAAAATCCTAAGTTTTTCGTCAAAATTTCATGTCTCTGCGAATATTTTTAACTGAATTTCAACAAAAATGATATTGAAAATAATAAAAATATTATTTGTATAAATTTATCTATTCCTTTTACATTTTTATTCGGTTTTGCTCAATTCTTAAACAAACTATACGAAAACAGAACAAACCAAAAAAAACATCTTTATTACTCATCAACTAAATCCAAAATGCAAAAATAAAATGTAATTATGCATTTTTTGATTAAAGGAATATTTGTGGTTGAAAACATAGTTCGTAAAAATGAAAAATAATGGAATCGGTAATGCCACGGCGGTGTGCTGTTAATATTAATTACTGTTTTTTCGAATTTTCTCGATTATTATAAAATCTTCTTGGAAAATTATAAAAATAACATCCTCAATATACCAAATATAAAAAATTTCATTGTATAAAAGGTGTTACACTTGATACATGGGAGCAAGTTTTCTGATAGAAATGTTTCTCCAAGACACACACAAAAAAAAAGAAAAAGAAAAAACCCTCGTATAATAATAAAATGAATAGATCCCCCGCCGCGCTCAGAATCTAAAATATAGACTGTTTATTGTTAAATTTTAAACAAATACGTACCTATGTTCGTTTATTTCCAAATTAATATGCTCGCGTTTAAACAATACCGTAATGTAGACGACTTTAAAAAAATATAATCTAAACAAATGAATAAAAAAATAAGAAATTGTTCAAATATTATCTATCACTCGTGACTAATATTATATGATTTACGTCCAATAAAAATAAAACAAAATAAAATATAAAATATATTGGAAGTTTCAATATAAAATTTATCTAGGTTACCTGAACAATATAGAAGGAGATAACCACAAATATTAAACATTTTTTTTTCCATCAATTTCATCTCGTATCTTGTATCGATTCGTGTAGATATACGATATGCCTAGCGTACCTAGGTACGTGTCCTACACAATAAAACTCGTTTAATAAAATAATACAGTTGATTTCATATTAAATTATTTTAGAAATGTTTATTAAAAAAAAAAGGGTTTTTTTTCTTCTTTTCACTGAAAGTTTCGATCAAATATGTTTAAAACAAAGTATCTTCGAGCCTAAATCCAGAATTGCTTAGATACTTATGACACGAAAAAAAATTGAAGTATTTTTACTAATCAAAAAATGTTCTTTGAGAAAAATCACACATCTTTGCGAAATTACTAGTTGCTTCGCTATACTCGGAATCTAAAAAAACCGTTGTGTATTTTTTTTATTCAGAGTGTCCAACAAAGATATACCTATTACGATATCTCCTGAGATAACGAAGTTACTCAAATTTTGTTTTTTATAAATATAATGAAGACAACAATCTTCATTATTTATAATACCTGTTTATTTTGTTTTTTAAAAAAAATGTCTTGTAGGTTTTACGTTTCGCTGATTTTAATTTTTTTTTTTTTTAATTTAAACATTTTTCGAAAGTGTATTGAACATTTATACTTTTACCGTACAGTTATTTTATTTTTTATTTTTTTTCTGACACAACATGCAAATTAATCAAAATTCGTAATCTAACCCGTAACAAATTTGAAATTGGAGCGTTTTATGCGATATAAACATTTTTCCCAAGAAGTAATTTTTTTTAATTCCATTCCTCTATAGGGGTATTGAATATTAAATTATTGGAAGAGTATTATCATATTTAAAATGTTCAAAATAATTTTTTAATTTTACAAAGGATATAGAAAATGTACATAACAGCATTATAAAACCGGTCTATTACCATAAAACACACATTGTCTCCTAAATCCTCAATTTCCGTCCACGACACTCGGCAAGATTTATTTTATTTCACCCCCTCCCCCTCCCCTGTGGGACTGAACCGAATAGAACGCGACTGTCTATATATTTACAATAGTAATATTATTCCGTGCGACTACGGGCGTGGCTATACGGGAGCTGGCCCTTTTCAAAACAACATTATAGCGAGGTGCGAGAACACGTCCGAACACGTGGATTTTCTTGAAAATAACAGGCGGACTAATAGCGCTGTTACATAGCTGACGATAAGCTCGTATACCTAAAACGAGAAAGTGTACGTTTTTGATGAGGAATATATAATACAATGTTCGTCTAAAAAATGGCCGTGCACACAAAGGCGACGCGCGAACGTGCATCGTTCGACAATTGGATCTTCGTCGAACTGACTTTTAATTCGATATATTATATACGTCGTTCGGGCTGCGCGCGAGGAAAAACTTTGAACGGCAGACGCGAACGGCGGGGATAGATGTGCAGACGAAATCCGATATACGTGTATACATATGTATGTATATACAGATAGAGAACAGGAAACATTGCCTAAGTATTGACGATCCCCCGGGAACCCGTTGTCGTCGTCGTCGTCATCGTCGTCGTCGCCGGGACTCGGAACGCCAATTACGAAGGTCACATGTATACGGAGGTACCTACTTACTCGGCCGACGATGGGTCGCGAAATTCCATTATATTATTATTATTCCGTATTCGCACGCACTCGGGGGGGGGGCGGATTTCTTGATAATTATTTGTAGCGACACCGAGTTAAGTCCGAGCGATAATACACGTGCCACCTCAACACTCCTCCCCCCCCCCCCCTTCGCGGCTGCTTCTCCTTTCGAGTCAGTCTCTCGTCGTCTACTCTCGCTATCTCTCTCCCCGTCTCTCACTCACTTTCTCTCTCTCTTTCCCTCTATGTATACCGTATAGGCACTTTCGTAATAATCCGTTTCGTCCCGGTTAATCCCCCCGCTCGGAGCGAAACGGTTTTCGACTCGCAAACGCGCACTCGTCGGTCACATGCGCTGCGTCTGTATGTATGTACGCATATATGTGCACACTACTCGTCAAAGAGATTATAATAATTAGAAAAGGACTGCGCCGCCGCCACCACCACCATCACCACTACTACCATCACCACCACCGATGGTCAGGAGGGTTGTCGGTTATATTATGCGGGTTACGGCGTGGTAACCGATTTGTCGCTGAACGTCGTACATTACGTACATATATATTATATACTCTCGCGAAGAAAATGTTGCTCGTGTGCGTGAGCGCCCGTTCATTTATCAATGCCATCGTCCGTCCGTCGTATACTTGGCCACGCACTTACTATGCTGAAAGACGCGTGTGCGTTAACCCGACTTACCCTCCTCGAGAGTCCACTGGACGAGAAGATGGCCGAGGTTTTAGGATAGTTCCTGCACCGCGGAATAGTGCCTAACCACATCAGTCACACGCCAAACGGATTTGGCTTGTACAGCGTGTAATGTGTTTATAGTACACACAAACACACACACACACGCATGTATTGTATTTTACCTAATTTTTGATATTACTTTTAATACCAAGAACTTACGGAGACTAGAGAAAGTTGATTGGTCCATTGCCAGGTAAGGTGGTCTATAGGCTTGATGTGCGAGTTGCTTCTGGTGTATCAGATTTTTTAAGGCAGTAGATACCCAGCGTGGGTATTTTGGCGTAGTAAAGACCTCTTGAGGGATACATTTTTTTATTGAATTAAAGAGACCATCATTAAAAACAGTGGTCGCATGATAAGTGGAGTGAGATAAGTGGACCTATTGAAAATGGACTGACAGTTAAAGGAGTCGAAGAACTTTGAGATGGAATCGTAGTCACCAGATTTGAAATCGTAGAACCTGTATTGAAAACTGTGTCTAGAATTGCTATAAAATTTTAATTTAATAAACAGGGGGGGGTAGTATGCGTCAGAACTGATAGAGGAGTAGGAGGTTTGTTAGCTGACAAGTCACCTTAAATAAATAATACCAATTCTAGAATATTATTAGAACAGTTAGAGATTTGGTTATACTGAAGGAGAATTAGAAAAAAGAAAGTATCAGAAAAGAGAGCGGCCCTGGGAGTAAGAATTCTAAAGTAAATGGCTTGAGACCAGCTTCATATTGAGCTCGTGCAGAATAAGTTTCTCTCATTTGCTTCTTATCGATTCAATATTGACTATCCCTAACACGACTTTTCTATATTCCGCTCTGCCCTTGCTTACTTACCCTTCATTCTCGTCGTATTATGGCCGATGTTTCCTTCACCTATTTTCTTCTAAATGGAATCATTGATGCTCCGGATTAACCATCATCCATATATTTCCGGATCCCCGCTTACTCCATCAGAACCCATTACTTTTTTCACCTGCCTCAATATCACACCTCTTAAGAGTTTAACTATGCCCTCCACCGTGCTATGCGTCAATTAAATGCTGCTTAGTCCGGGCCCTCTTTTCCCTTAGATTTAAGTTACCTAACTTTGTTTAACTTTTCCTCCTAATTTTAGTTTCGTCTAAGTACAAAATTACCAGTTTTGGCGTTCATTTATAAAAATAAAAAATAAATAAAATAATATTATATGTCTCGTTTTTAAATAGGTATAATAAATCTCAGGAAAGATAAACGAAAAAAAAACAACACAAATTGGGTTCTTACATCTTTAAATATTTTAACTGTTGGCTGATTTATTCTTATATATAGTTTCAGAGTCCGTGTAGTACTACAAGTTTAGAAGTTAAATGGACGCTTTGTGTTGACAAAGATATTGAAGTCGAGTATGTTTCTGGTAGAGATTTTATTTTATGTTGAACGAAATGAAGTAAGTGTACAATACCTATATTGTTTACCTTTTATTTTTAGATTTAAATCTTCTAGAATAATTTGTTTGAATAAAATCTAAATAAAAAATGTACTGCGTTTTAAAATCTGATTATATTTAGAAAAATAAAACTCGTTGGCTAATCCCACTGATCTAAACTCGTAACTTAGTAACGATAAACCTTAAGGTATATTATTAATCAATTTAAGCTGGTTATAAATTGTCTTTATAAAATAAACAACAGATTTATGCAAATTAATCATAACGTATTTTTTTATAATGTGAAATACTGCTGTCTTAAATATTGTTCCGTAGTGAACATAACATTTGTACAAGGAATATTCACAATCAACTTTTTTTATTGTACTATTATAAGTAATAGCGTTTCTAAAATGTGTAAATGTACTTTTAAACATTAATTGCTTTAAATGTCGTAGAGCTAAAGTTGCTGTCCGACTTTCGTTAAACATTTCAAAAGCCATGAATATTTTAATGTACGATATACCGAAATAGCATAGCTTCCCATGATAATTGCGAGGGAAATATAAAACTAAAAACAATTGAAATAGTAATATTATTAGTACAAATAATTACGTCACAGTTTTCCCGATGTTTTACTGTCAATTTATAAATATAAGAAAAAGAAATGCCGACATTGCTGATGGGTGTATCAATGTTTTAGGAGGGAAGTTAGAAGGGTTGATTTATTATTGAATAGATAATTGTATATATGTATTATATAGTATGTAATTCATTTATAATATATACCTAGTCTAGACACAAATTCTGTCAGTACTTTAAACGTATATTACTCAAGAACAACACATCGTATGGAAATTTTATAAATATATTTATAATGTATACATAATTACATTTTAAACCATATATATATATATATATATATATATATATATATTACGCGAAATGCCCCTCCTCGTTTTCTATACAACGACGTAATTTTTCCAGGCAATTTTCAATATACGTACAAATAATCTCCAGGGGAATTTCGGCAGTTCACATTGTTTCGCTTTATTGACTCCAAATAATAATTTGCGTGTCGTTTTTTACAAACTCTCTTCTCTAAAATGCTCCAAAACCCATAATCAAGGGAGTTTAAATCCGGACTTGCAGAAGCCCAGTCAGATGCTTTTATACAATTTTGAACATTGTTTTCAAGCCATTCTTGTGTTGTTTTTGCCTTTTGACCAGGCGCTTAATCCTGTTGAAAAACCCTATCAATCCCTTCGGAAAATGAATCACTCAGAGGCTTCACTAAAGAATTTAAGACGCTATTCAGATACACAAGAGCTTCAATTTAAACCATAACTTGAGCAGGAATGTTGCCTCGTTGAACGCGTGAAACATTTCTCTAGCTTTTAATAATGACCTTACATATACCCTATCATTCTGCTTGTTGTATTTTTCTTCAATGGTGAATATTTTTTAATTTTTAACTTTAGTTGTATTAACTTAAATAAATACATTAATAAAATAATACATTTTTGAATTAAGTTACTAAAATTACCATATTTAGAAATTTTTGAGACTGAATTTAAAGTAATTATCGCAAAATGTACAAACATAAAATAGAGGATAGAAAATGTATTCTATAATAAGAAAAGACTAATGTTTATTAAATATTTCTCATATTTTGGATTTAGAATTATTTTTTTCTAGAAACTTCAATAGCTCATTAAAAAATCGTGGACCAAGATAGTCCACAGTTCTTTGTCCGAAAAAAGTTTTCTTAAATTTTATTTTAGCATTATATGCCCTAATTTCTCTAATTGGTTTATTTCTATCCAGGTTGTACTAATTTTCCATATCCTTTATAAGACATACAATTGCAAATTGTTTGTAACGTGACATGACAGGCAAAACTTTAAATTCATTATAAAAATGTAACGTAGATCTTACAAGGCTAAGTTTATTGAGACATATTCCAAGAATTTTATTTTATTATAATTTTAGAGGTTTAATTGCTTTTTGTGTAAGTCCTCCCCAAACTAGAATAATTCTATACTGATATACAATCCATATGATAAATATATATTTCCAACGGGGTTAATAGAGAAAATATTTTTAAGTTTACAAAATGTATACACTACTGATCTCAAACGCATTACAACATTGTCTATGTGTGAATCCCACCTTAAATTTTCATCAAAAGTAATATTTAGGTGCCATATATATTTTTACTAAATTGCTCCTCCCTCTTTCTACAGAAATGTACAGTATTCAGGAGGTACTGATTCTTTATTTAAAGAGCATGACTTTAAATGAGTTAAAAGGTCAAGTACTCTTTTTAGTTCATTTCTGATTTTTGATATAGTGAGTCCCAGTTAGAACCAGACAAAAGCAAACATGTATTATCTGCAGAAGAAGAAAGTTTCATTTTTTCCTGTTAATTTCTAGGTCACATTTTTTAAATATATAATACAGAAAAAATCGGACCTAGTACACTTCCCTGAGGCATTCCACCGAATATTTCCAATTCCTCACCTACAACGCCATTTATCATTACTATCTGAGTTCGTTTATTTAAATAACATTTAACACATTGTAAACTACTATTTTTAAGACCAAATCTCGGCGAAATCCATATTAGCTCTGTATGATTTACCGCGTCAAACGCTTTCGCGAGATCTAGGAAAATTGCCAAAGTTTACTCCCATGTCAAGTGCGATATTGATGTATCCAGTTACATTGTAAATAGCCTACTCTGTACCTATGGCTGGTCTGACATTTTGATAGTAAGTTATTTCTTTCTAAGTAGTTTATTAGGCGATATTTTTTTTTATCTTTTTCAATATTTTTGAAAAATTACATAACATCGATATTGGTCTATAGTTTTTGATATATTTCTTATCTCCGTCTTTATATAATGGAATTACTATTGCAGTTTTAAATATATCCAGAATGTACATTTATTTATACTTAAATTATAGATGTATGTTAAAAGATTCGTAACACTTTTAGCTTTATACTTTATAAATTTGACTGATATTTTATAGAAACCAGCTGAGGTGTTATCTTTTAGTAAGTCTATTATTTGAAGAACATCCTATTCTTTAATTTTTCCATTGATAATATTATCAAATTAATTATTATGTAATTCAGTAATGTCTGCGTTGCCAATATTGTTACTGTGATTAGTAGATTTTTTCCCCTACCTCAATGAAAAAATTATTAAAGAATTGAGATTCTTTATACGGTTCTTCAAAGGCATTTATTGGCTTGTTATTAATTAAAATAGTACTTATTTCTTTTGAGTTTTGAAAGTTATTGTTAGTAACTTCTTTAATTAATTTTAATGTTAATTTAGGATTAGACACCACCATTAACAATTTCTTTTTATAATAATTATTTTTAGTTGTTCGCAAAATGTTGGTAAAATTATTTTTAAATTTGGTGTAGAAAGAAAACAGCTGTTTATTAGATGGGTGCTTTTTAACTTTTAAGGGTAATTTATGTTTTTTACTAGCTGAGCAAAGAAGACCTTGCGTCATCCAAACTTTAAGTCGCTTATATTTAGAATTTATTATTTTAGTGTTTGTTGCTGAAGCTATTGCTAAAGATACTATTGTTACGGGCGTCGCCTCACTCTCTGATAATATATCATATTACATAACATTAATTTTGGGATTTACTGCCGCACAATAATAGTTAATTTACCACGCCGCAATGCGAACGGCTATGATAAGAATTGTAGATTTGAATTTTCGGAATATTAATATAACACAGACGTCAATAGTTGATCGAACACACCTATGCGCACATTTAGCAACACCCGGTTATTAGTGGCCAAATGCGTGAGGGTATTATCCAATTATTCAATAACATGTTATTGTTTAAAAATGTGAACTAAGTATATTAAGCTTGGGGGTCCAGGGTATATATATATACCAGCTACTGAAAACACCTTTCCAGACGAGTCACCCTAAAATCAACTGCAAGCACCTTCACGCTAGATAGATTTGTACTTCAATTAAAAGTGTTTGAATATTTTCAATTACAAATACATATACTTATAAAAATTGCTGTGTACAATATTTCCGACTTCGATCATAAGTAAATCTGAAATAAATTCGAAAATACGCCCGCAACACGATATTATAAAATATATTAAATCTTAAATTTACATCCTGACTACCATACACGTCTGCCCTGGAATCATTTTTTAAAGTAGTTTTGACATTTTTAAAATCAGTGAAGAGAAACTCATTCAGTATTGAAGTATTGGAAGTGCTCAGTGGTTTTTTTTATAGGTATTTATAAGATTGCTGAAAAATGGTCAGTAATATTTTTTTAAATTAGAAATACCGGCATTAAAGTTTCCTAAATAATCATTATTTTGGACAAAAATATGGTTTATGCCTAAATGAATATTACTTGTCGGTGTTCTGGTATATATATTAATAGAAGACTTAAAGTTAAACATTGACATATCACCTAAATATTCATTATCAGAGTTGTCTATTAAGATAATATTTATATTTTTATCACCTAAAATTACCATAAATCCACTGTTATTATTATCGTTTGACAAAATATCGTTTAAGATGGATAAAAAGTAATGGCTATCACTCGATGGAGATCTTTATATGCAAAATATGGTTACGTAAACATTACAAGAATTTACATCATGCCACCGTCTCAGATTACATAATTTTATCAATTTTTTTTTTGTGAATATCATTTTCCATAAAAAAAAGGAACTAATCCAAATCGGCTTTAACATTTCTGATATTACAACATAGAATATTAATATATAAATTTGTTTTAAATAATATTTTAACCATACACAAATTCAGAAAAAGGATCAAAGTATTTTATTTTATAGTCTAAATATTTATCTATCAAATTAGTGAATCCATTTTTATAAAAATGTATTTTTTTTGGTTTTTTGGTATTAAACAATATTATTTAAGCTATATTTTTCTTCTATAAAAATGACTTTATTGGTTTCATCTTTTAAAATTGTACAGTCTCTATACCATACATATTTATATTTATGCTCTTTTGAAAATATTCGGCCTTATAGAATAAGTTGCTATTTGTATAAGTTAGATAATTATTTAAATATATAATTTCGTTATTTCGATTTGCAATAACGTTATCTGCATTTAGTTTCTTCTTTTTGGCCAAGTCCAGCAGTATGTTTTTAAGTATTTTCGAGTCTAGGAAAGTTATAATGTTCCCTAGTTTATTTTGAGTTTTTTAAAAATTTGAGCAAACGATACAACTTTTCCACAGATACAAATTCCCTAAGGTTATTGAGATATCGTCAACTACTATACTTCATACAGTCTTCATTATTTTGTTAAGGAACACCAGTTATTTCTATGCGATTTTCAATTAATTTTTGATCAAAAAAGTTAATTTTCCTATTAACGGTAATAAGTAAATTTTTTAGCTTAAGATTTTGCTTTTATAATTCTTTATTTTCTCTTTATTTTATGCCGTCGTTACAGATGGAACACAGCATATTTATTTATTATTTAAAGATTAAGATAAATATCATTGCTAGACTATATGCATAATAAGATAAGCGAACAGCACGGTGAACGACCGTTCACTATGACTACTGACAATCAACTGAATGTCTCTTCACTACAGGTACTGTAGGAACTAACAAAATTTATATTAAGACTAGATATATTTATACACAATGATAAAACATTGCTTACGAAAAAATGTATCTGAACAGATTAAAATCGGTCATGTTTTTCTTCTTGTTATCAAAGTAACCAAAGAACGAACGAAAATTATACGAACAATTGCTGGTTTTTCCTATTTTTTAAGAATACTACAAGGAAAAACAAAAAATGAGGTTGTCAATACACCAACAAGATCAAAAATTTCATATGAAAGTACCTTTAATGTTTTTGATAAGATCAAGATTTCTGTTAAAATAGTTTCTTATAGAGTTACCATATACCTGTCTGTTAAAACTAATATATTTTTCAAATTTAAAACACTCATTATGAATAAGTACGCAATACTTTCCATACGCCATGAAAAAACTTCACTTACTATTTTGTGTATCATTCGTTCTCTGCGTGATATCAATTCATTTAGGCAAAAAACAGCTGGCTGAATATGTATTATTATTACGAAGCAAAAAGACTATGAACATGGTACATTTACATCGTACCGTCGGAAACGAATAAGAGAGATAAGTATAATATTATGAATAGTAAGTGAGAACGAGCGAAAAATAAAAGTATTATAGTTTGATCGTCGATTCCGTTTGCCATTTATACTTCACGACTTTCTCGCCCGAACAGCTTTCTTTATTGCCACGATCGCAATTTTCGTCAACCCTCCGAACGCGCATACGTTACGGTCTTTAAGGCTTTTTCGCCCCGGAGAATTTAATTTGAAACAAAAACTATAATATAATCGTATGCGTCTCGTTTATAAAAAGTTTTATTAAATTCGCTTAAGACGTTCCATCGTATATATACCTACCTATACGGGTTTATTCGGTTTGGCGGAGAAACGCCTGTAATATTATGGTAGTAAAACCGATTGCGTTTTATTGTCACTGTTCGTAGAATAAATAGTTCAAATATTTGTTTTGTTTATGAAAAAAAAAAAAAAAAAAGAGACAAAAATTACCAAAAGTTGTTTCCTCGTAAATATTATGATATGAATTTGATTTATTTGGAAACCAAAACATGTGACGATTTATACGGTTTTAATTTACTTTTATGACATTCAGAATTCCGCAAGCAATTATTAATACAATTTATATTATGACGTACGTAAATAATTATGTAAAATAATCAATTTCGGTTTGTTGTTAATTAATATGCAAAGCTGGGGGGCATTCACTACATAGCTATTTAACTATTTAAAAGTTAAGTTAAGTTATAAGTAAACTATTTTTTTTCCATACAATTTAAATCAGTTAGTTATAAAAGCATTGAAGATAACAAATTTACTTAGTTACCTTACTAAGGTAACTAACCTATTGATCTCAGTTATTTTCTTAATATTTAAGTTATCTCAATTAGTTAGTATTTGCATTTATATTTGGACATTTTATTTTATCATTTTGACGTCTTTATCACATAACAAAACAGGCATAACGGTAAAATATGATATAATAATTTGAATCTTATATGGTAAATTTGTGAAAGTAAAAGTATACAAATGTGTACGAAATACGTTTATGAGTATAGTTAAGAGTATTTTTTAACTTAACTTAATTTTTTTTTCGCGATAAAATTATATTATAACTTATAGTTACATTCAAATCCATTTACGTTTTAAAATTAGCATTATCTTAACTTTGCCATTTTTTTTTTTTTATAGAATAACTTATCCTAAATAATAATTAAACAAATTAGTAAACTTGTCCATACTTTGTTAGTATGAATATGTATAGTGAATTCGGCATACTTTTTCATTTCATTTAATATAATACGTCAAGTTCACGAGTTATTTATTCATTCAGAATAAAACTGATTTTTTTTCTAAGAATATGAAAAAAATATCGTACTTTGCAAAACGTTAAGTATTTAAGAGTGGGCTGAGCAGCTGAAAGTGTATTAAACAAATTTGGGGGTGGCCCACAGAAACGGTTATTTTCGTTCCAATGATAATGATTTAGTTGAGTTTTAGAAATAAAATATTGCCCAGATAACAAAATCCCAATCCCCCACCGTCATGTATGCCGTAAAATTGACAAAAATATGCTAAATAGGAGTTCTATACCCTCGTAAGTATATATTTTATATTCACATTATTTAAGTTGATAGATCGGGATCCACAGATCCTACTCCCGCGAGAAGCATAATCATTTATTTATTCTTTTATATGAAAAAAATAAAATATTTATCATAGTTAAGTATCATGCTTATTTTCATTGTCGTTTTATATATACCATCCAATAAACTTGCTCAATATTCCTTGAGACTGTAAAATTCTGATTATGGCGATAAATCTATTAGTTTCACTAAGATATATGATTTTGTTGCTCATAAAATACTTTTTTGATTAGAAAAAATTATACAAATTATTCACATCATTTTTAAAAGAAGTGAACTTTTCGACCAATGATACTTAATTAGAAGAAATGTTTAATATTCTCATCAATTAACTTGCATTACTTATAAAAATAACAATAAATATTTATCAATTACCTTCATCGATTTTACTTTTGTTGATTTCTGAGCATCTTTAGAAACAAAGAAGAAAAAAATAGAAGACGGACACGTTTAGAATAATGGGAGGACTACTATTATAGGTAAAATGTTGAAAAGGTAGGAAAGAAAAAATTTAATGTATATCTGTAAGTAACGATAAACCATTGCTAACAAAAAAACGATTCTGAGCGGAGTTCGGTTAAAATTGTGGCTTTGTCATCAATATATACGCCATATTATGGTAAACTAATTATATATTCATTAAAAATTTTCTTTAATAATATTTGTTTAATATTGTACCTATTTTCCCGTTATTCTTACGGATTTTCTCGGTTTTACCCATTTATCAGGAAAACTCGTGGGAATATAAAAAAATGACTTCCTCAAATATCAGCCTAGTCAGATTTCTATCTAGAAAAAGTGGTATCGTTGTAATTTATAGCATAATTGCTGGTAGAAAAGACTGGGGACGTACTTTATGGAGGTCACTTTTTAATTTTCTTAAGAGTTTTCCCAACAATTGGGAAAATCCAGAAAAAATGGAGGAAAAACTGGAAAGTATCTGAAATTTATTAGTACAATATTACGGTCTTTTTTTCTTTGGACAACTTTTCTACTAGTAATCTTGCTCCGATTTACAATGATAGCACTTTTTGTAATAGACAATTTTACTGGAGAAGTACATTAGGGAGGTGATTTTTTGATTTTCCAGAAGTCTTCCCAATCATTTAAAAAATTGGAGAGAAACAGAAAATCTACGAATAATATATAGGTTGATTGATTTCCTACGTCAGTTATAACGATTCGGTAATGATAAAGAATCGAACAGAAAATGTTTTATCAAAACGAATAACCGTTCTTACTAATATACAGACAAATGGTAGGGATGGCTGTTAGAAGTTGAACCCTTCTTAAGGCTCATAATTGACAACAATACTAGTCAAAAATATACATTTTAATCACGTTACTTACTTTGAGGAATTTGAAACCGGGTATTTCCTGTGAAAATGGGAAATCTAATCATAAAACAATTTTGGGAGAGTGTTTAAAGTTAAAACCCCCAAAAGACAATTTTCTTTGACACTTAAATAACTAACGTAAATAAATATATAAAATATTTATGTATATATATATATACTCCCAGTCGCGTTTTACATTTTCACTTGATGATGAATTTTTAATTCGAAACCGTTCGTATAATACACTTACCATATTACTCCAAGTGACGCATTGATTCAATTATTTTTTTTATTATTATATATACATTTTTTTTTTAAATATATATTTATTTACGAGTATTAACCATTTTAATAATTTTGTTTTTAACCTTATTATTTTATCACTTAAATAATAGATGTATATAATGTTATGACCTTTCCTTCATTTAGGGGGTTTATGGAGGTGTATAAATCTGAAATCATGTAACAACATTTGGAAGTTAATATTAAAATTCAGTCAACACATTTACCACTTCAGTAAAAAAGTAAAAAAGAAACTTGAATTCCTGAGTTTGAACTCATTTGGTCCAAAGGAATCTGCTATAAGAGTTTAAAAGTACCGGGGAAATGACATATTTTATACATTTAAAACAGACACAATATAATGAAATAGTCTTTATGTTCAAAAATTTGACAAAAACCATCATTTCGCCAAATATTTTATATATTTTCTCATTTTTAGCTACAGCAGTTGCAATAACACGTAGCTTTAGGTTACACACTTTCTTGGTTTCCCTATATAACGTAAAAGGCTGATGATATTTTATACTACTATCCTATCTACTTGATCGTATCTGTTGATTAGTTATTCCTACTATACTAACCGATCTTTGGAACTGGGTCGATAGACTGATATAAATAAAGATCTTTATAGATCTTTATCTTTATATCTTTGTATATTTAACAGGTTAAAGGGACTTTAACTTTGGTGTTTGTTCGTCACTTAACGCAATTACACAAAATGTAATAAAGATAAAATTAATTACAAATACAATTATTAATAAATATAAGAACAATAAAAATTAATTTGTCTTAAGTAACCTTTATTCCCTAGACTGGTTATTGAGGTGATATTTGGAGGTTAGTGTGTACGTGTATGATGTATTGTGATAGATAATTTAGAATATAGAAACAATATTAGAAATACGCATGTAGAGATATTATTAAGACTGACTACGGTTTAGGTTCAGTTGTAAATCCGATTGTTGTTGGGACTCGACTATGATCCTTACTAGGTTTATTTATTATAAATACGTAAACTCGTTTTTTTATGTATTAGGAATGTATGTATTTCCTAAGTAATATCAATAGATTAGTTCATCATGAAACGACGTGCGAAAGACAATTTAACGGAATTATTGATGTAATTATTGAATAATTATTCAATGAAATGGTTACGCAAAGTCAAAACGATGACGATTCGTAGTAAATACAATTTCATAAAACATTTTATTTGAATATCTACGAAAATACAGTTTATCCATTTATTATTTTTAAAGGAGTTGGGTTAGATAGTCTAGAAAAGAAATTATTTAGAAACAATATAGCGAAATGAGGAATGCTGTAATGATTTAGAAGACTAAATCTAATGAGTACGTAAAACCGAAGTGGCAAGAAGGAACGGACATATAAGTGAATGGGTGGAGTTCATGAAAAAAGAAGACAATTCAATTTTAGACATTTTTGGCATAAATGTTAATACTTCAGGAAATTTCACTCAAGATCCAATTGTATCATTGTAATAGGGACAAGTCGTGATTTAAAATTGTACCTATCGTATTGGTTCAGAAGTAAAAATATGATAAAAGGGGATAAAATGCATAATATTAATTTGAAATGACAAAGGGGAACGCGTATCATTTGAATAATTGGTGTAAACTTAAAATTACAATTTTTCAAATGTATTTAAAATCATAAATAATTTAAATTAAAAACATTTTAAAATCGTTTATAATGTTTTTCGTATCTCCTGAAAATCAACTGTTTAGACTTGTCTCCCGTCTAGTTTTTAGATAATATAATATTTTCTGATGATGGTCAGTACTAACCGTTGAGTATGTGTATCACCGTGTTGGCGGGGAACGCGTTGCTCGGCATGCATGTGTAGTTTCCGGAATGTTCGCGGGATGCTCGCTCGATATACAGATCGCTATGCTTGTTTGGGAGGTCAGAAGTCACGTTCACTCCTCGGTCGATGTCGTAGTTGATCATTCGGCTGTCATGATACCAGAATATATACACCGGGTCTACAGGGCTCTGCCGGACCATGCACTCCAGGTGCAGCGGGCTGTTAAGCATCAAATACTTTTCGGAAGCTCCGGCTATCTCGGCCTGAGCCTCTGCAAAAAAAAAAAAAAAAAAAACCACGAAAAATGTCATTACGATAGAGTAGAATAAGGTACGCGCAGAGCGCTACAGTGTAATCGAGGTCTGGGCCATATACATAAGTACTTATGAGAATGAGTGTTGTACGAGTTTTTTTTAAATTTTCACAATTTACATAATATTTAAGTATAATGCTGCAGGTTATTATTTGCGGTTTATGTATTATATATAATAATATGACATGCAAAAAAAATAGAACATACACTACTTTATCAATTCCAATTTTATTTTACGATTCCCATGTATATTTTTAAAAACAAAATACATATTTCACAGTATTTTATTGTATATATAAATCTCATTAGTCCTACTTACCATCATAATAATATATAGTTCGTTATCACTTAAGACCGGATTTACATATTTTTACATATCGTTATTGAGTTTATGCAGTCATATGAGAGTGAGAAATGTTGACGATTCGTTCAATTCTGAGTTCGCAGGAAAAAGTTTTTTTCGCATATTTCAGAATATTTCATGGGTTGAGGAATATTTAGCTTATTTTGTATATTTCGGAATATTTTGTAAATTGTCAGAAAAAAATATTAATTTTAATACGCTACCTGGAAAAATATATTTTTAACATTTCCAATTTTTCTTTTTTGTTTCATTTTGATAAAACCGTTTAGTACCTATCTATTATAAGTTTACTGTTCACTAAACACGATGGTGGCTATATGCAATGCTGGCAGTTGTTTTCACACTAATAATAATATAAACGTATTTGTTTATCATTAAACATTATTTACTATTCAAATGTGCAAATATTCTGTTTTCATTTTTCCAATCATGTGTAACGTGATTTTTAAGTTTTTAAAAAATAAATTACCAATATTATTATATTCTTAATTTTACTATTTACTACTTCTTAATATTATCTTATTTGAATAAATAAGTATCACTAGCTATTTATGGAATGTAATGAAAAAAAAAAAAAAAATAAAAAAAAAAAATTTCATATTGAAGTATATATTGATGGCAATTGATTATTTTTCCATATTTTACAAACTTCTAAGAGAATATAACGAGAATATATTAAGGTTTATTAGAGAATATAAGCATCATATTTTAGGTGTTTTAAGAGGATATAAATCCGATCTTTAGTTATCATATAATCAATGTATATTAGTAAAGATGAAAATAGCTTGTTTTTCATTAGCCCATAAAATTAGTTTAAAATATCGTCAAATGAAAAATATAATAATTTAGAGTCGGGATGAATGTCGGAACTATTCGATAATCGATAGGACCGAAATGCTCTAATTTTCACATGCACATAGATATGTATATAATATGTTATAATCAAAGAGATATCGTCCGCTAACGTAATTTTACAAGAAATCGCTCGTGAATTCCAAACTTTATACCCGATATTTTTAACTTGAAACTATACAACACACACGGACCGTGAAAAACGTTGCCGTCAGAAATTCGAAATGTCCACGGTATTTCAAAGGAAACGAATTTCTAAAGATACAATGATATTATTATTATCATTTCGAGAACTACTGGAATCCGAAATAAACTGCGTGTAAAAAATTATATTGGATTTTTCTCGTTCCCAATACGCATTATAATAATAAAGTGTAGCTTCTATATTCCGTGCCCGTGACGTAATATATTATAACGCCTGGAAATCAGGGGGGGGGGAATTTTCTATTGTAGTTTAGCCGTTTTTAACGACGTATTAACCTTATATTTCATGCGGAACAATACGCGAGAAAAATAATAGTATAATATAGCACGCGTTTATATTGATATAGGTATTGGCACAAAACTCGTAAAGAAATAATATCAGCGTATTATAATATTTTTAATAATTCACGCATCGTAAACTTCACTGTTCGTTTTTACGACAGACCTTATTATAATGTACCTAGTATATAACTTGTGCACGTTTTACGACAAAATAAATATCGTTGAATTGCACTAGACCGCGTTGAGTAAGTGCAGTTCGTCTTACAAATACTACAACACCTGGACATATTATGTATATTATACGGTCAAGTTAACGTAAAATATAAGGCTCATTTCAACACTGCGTAACAACGTAACCGACATAACATTATCAACACATTTTTAAAACAAAGAGCTGATACTGCTGATGGGCACGTCGCTGTTGTAGGTGGGAAGTTGCGAATGTAGGATGCATAAGCTGTATTATTTCAGATATCCGTGTCACAACACGGAGATTTGACATAATTTCTGTTAAATATAATTTAGTTTGTTTTTTTTACTTGAAAACTACTAAAACCTTGCGCTATAATTCCTCAATTATTATTTTATATTTTTTTTAAAACTAAAAATAAAAAATTGATTTTTCGTTAAACTTGGAATATATTCAGAAAAAAAAACATGTCGATCCTATATGTTATTAATTGATTATTATTTTTTTTTTAATGTAAGTAATACTATTTTTTATAATTTTGTCATGTTTGTTTGATGGAGAACTGATAAGTACCATTACAGTCTCACACTCTTGAAAATCTCAAGTTTTATATAGATCCCTATATAAAGTAAAACTATAATGTTCAAATATATATATATATATATGTATAAACAAATTTTATCTCGACACTAATAATTGCGACTGTTGTATATTATCTAACATGAAATTAAATATTAATTCTCGATAAATAATAATTAGAAGTAAATAATTATTACCCGTTTACCTATACAGTTATATAAGTAGTTAATATTATTATATCAACCGTTTGGATAAAATGCCAGTCGAATTGTTTACTTTCGATAACTCACAATAATGCCACCACACCGATCGGACGGAGTGTTTATTGCTGAAATCCTTATTATCCTTATTAATCCATATAAGAGTGTCATATACTCTAAGTGCATTACGATAACCTATCACAATTTCGAGCAGTAAACAACACTATAATGTCTCTTAAGACTGGGTACGTGGTCTTAATATAAGTGTATCGCTAAGTGTGTTAAGACGTGTTTTAGTATAGGTATATAATATGTGTATCCGAATTTTATGAACACTACGACATCCATCGTAAACATTAGAATGTCTTTATTAAGTCTCGATGGAGATAAAACAATAATAATTTTAATTTCGTGAAAGTTGATCCCAATAATATTATAAGAGACAAAAAAAAAAAACGGAGCGGAATTTTGTATTCCTGTAATTTCAATCTTGACATTTACAAATTTGTTCATATAGTTTTTTTTTTTTCTATTAACTTTATCCTTTTAAAAGTCGAAGAGAGAGTTAAAATATGAGAAACTAATTGAAAATACTTTGTAACGTTTTGTATTTGTTTTTGTACGTAAAGACAGAATAATATTCCACGGGAGGTAGTTTTTGAATTTTTTCTTTTATATTCAGTGATAGGTATTATGATCAAATGTCTGCGACCGAGGTTGTTTTTATTAATGACAGTTTATTACATTTCATTTACGGTATCATTTAGTACCTTCATTAATGTAATAATTGAAATAAAATTCTATCAAGATAATTATATAATATGTATGCAAAAATAATAAACTGTACGATAGGTAGGTATATTATTACAGAGGTTGAATTTAGGGGTTAATTGCTAATTATAAGTTATAATAACGTAGAATGAAAACAATTTTTTTTTTTTTATAGTTGTTATTGAAATTTAAGAGTATAAACATCAAATTAAACTGTTAAATAATAATATGTTCCATTAGAATTGCTCTTCTAAAACAGTAAGTAATCTATAACCGAATATATGAAATATTTTATTAAATGGGGTCAATTGAATTTCTTTTAACACAAAATTGTAAAAAAAAAAAATAGATTGAGAGTTTAAACATTTTTAAAGTTTTTCATCATATCCTTATTTACACGAAAAGTAAAAATTATCATATTACTCATACACGGTATATTATTAATATGTATCTGATAAAATTAAACCAAACGAAAAAAATTAAAAGGAAGTATCAATATTTGAAGAAAATAAACTTCTAGCATTTTAATGGAAAATTCTTAAGAAAATATTTGAAATGTTCACCATAGAAGCCATTAGCAGTAAAATATTATACAAAATGTAGGGCACACCTGGAGAATTGAAACTCATTACTTAATAGGTACAGTGCCGGAAACAAAACCGACAGGGAAAGACCCCTCGAAAAACACAATATACTCTATATAATTCCATATATGGAAAAAATATAGCTAGAATACGAGTTATAGATTGGAAAAGACGAACATCAGATAAAGATGAATTCTGGAAGTCTGGATGTGCAACAGGATAGTTCTAGAACCTAGATGCCACTTTTTTATCTCCAAAAAGAATTAGATGGCATATATCTATTTTTAATTATTAGTTATTTCAAGCTTAGGAAAATGTATTCGATAGTGCGTTAAACACGGCAGCAGCATGGTTAGCATACTTCTCTACCGCGGGAAAAGTTTTGTATTTTATATAGCTACAAGAGTGATCGATTCTACACTGTAGCTCGGAAACTTGACGAAGAAAATTTCGGGGAAAAAAAAATATAGATAAATAACTAGCGGAACAAGTAGTAGAGAAGAATTTTCTTTTACATACTGCTCTGAGGTCTGATACCGCGGGGTGTTTCTGTGTGTCTAGGTGTATAATAATAATAGTATATAAAAGACACGGAAATTTCCCGCGGCGGCTATTTCGCAACTTTACCGGTTAATTCACTTCGTCGTCAACAAACTTTAACCAACACACAACCGGAGAGGTTTCGAGTCATATAGTGTATTATACGTAGGTACCTAGTTGTTATTGATTGTCGAGGGTGTGTTTGTGTATGTATGTGTGTGTGTGTGTGTGTGTGTGTGTGTGTGTGTGTGTGTGTATGCGTGCACAAACGAACGGATGACGTTTCGGCGTGACGTGAACAAACGACGTCGATTTTATTATGCACTGTTCGTTCATATTATTACGTTTTGGAAGACTCGAAATGTACACAGTAATAAACCCGCGTATATTTCAACGC